CAGCAATGCTTACTACACAACTAGGAAGTTGTGGACCAGATCAAAATGACCAATATTTAAGGTTGCTAGCTATACCAAAACAACCCACTATCCCCAGTCTGTTGGATTGCTGACCTCTTTCACCAGCTACCTACCCCAAAATCAAGAATGTTCAAGTGCGCACCTAGTCTTAATGCCAAACTGAAAGACCTTGCTAGTGATCTAGATTAAAGAAACCACCCTGGTTAATCTCAGCTCATCTAAACTAAATCAGTAGGTGTATCAGCAGAGAGTTAAGATTCACCAAATCTGAGAATCCTATGTGGTAAGAAAATCAAGGTAAGAGAAGTCCAGTATCATTGAACACAAGATGATAGCTGGGAAGTCCAGCAAAGGATGAACCATCTGCTCAGTCACAATAAGTTAAATGGCATTAGAGGCACCAGAATGACATTTAGCCCATGATACACAGTCAAGAGCTGTGTGTTGAAACAGCCGATGACAACAGGGTGCCAAGGAGAAGAAAGAAGATGCCAATTGTATCAGCTGGGTGCTGTAATAGAACAGTGGTGGTGACAGTTGATCATAGAACCATGAATGGCAAAGGTGTCAAACTAGCCGTGGGCTGAAGTTTTAAATTGCTCAAAGTGGATGAAAGGTGGCAGGACCTCATTGTAACCTAGAGAAGAATGTTATCTAAAGAATTATGTAAACTAATAGTGACTGCAGTAAAAACTGCCGATTCGAGGTTTTCAAGGCTCCTTGTGAGGTTGAAGATGTTTTAGCAATGGATGAAGATATCTTTAAGATTTTAAGATAAAAAGATTAGATATGAATAATAAGAGTAGCCACATTATGAACAAGAAACACTTATAAGGGGTACAAATTCATGTTTCAGGACACAAGCCAACCACTAACTGCTTAGAGATCATGAAGTATCTTCCCAGATGGGCATATCAGTACTTTGCACCTTCTTTTAAAGCTTGTAGTATAGACCAATGTCAAAGAGCGAATAGTAGATTAGATCGACCATAGGTTTGATCCAATATGGCAATTCCTATGTTCCTATAAAACATTTTATCTCCAGGACTGGTGAAAGTCAAAGATATCATAGAAATTTGCCAAATGGGCATAGTTGTTTCCATAGAACTAAGAGTCCTTCTGCTTATACAACTGTATATTTTATACTGAGCAGGACTGCGTAGTCCCAATATACATAATCAAATAAACAAAGTAGCATCTTCTAAAATTGGTTTTATACTTGTACTAAAAGTTATATTTATTCAAGAAAAGTTCTTTTAATCAGTCTTTAGATAATTCATCTCTCATGCTCTTATGATACTGAAAAACATCTAGTCAATACTCAGTTACTCAAGCTTTGGACAGACAAGGTGATGTGGTAACATCTCTTATTGGACCAACTTCTGGAGACTGTGTTTTAGTGTTTTATTGAAATATAGGAATTTTAGTAGAATTTAATACATATTTTATATATATTAATAGAATATACAAGACAATTGTTTGTAAAAGTTTGAATTTCTTGCTACAAGAGGTATACTGTATTTTTTTTATGTACACTTGTTTCTTGGAAAATTCAAAAGGTGTCTCTGGTGTTTAAATTTAGGAAAATATAACCTTGCATGGGAAACTGGCGGCACCTGAGAATAACAGCAGAAGTTAACATTTATTGCTATTGGGTTTGCAGGAGAGTGCTGACTGCTTTTAAAAACATTCAGTCAGTGCATGACAATGTTCTTCAAAGTATTTGATCTGTCTTTATGAGAGGACAGTGGTTTTCAGATTCTTGCTTACTCCACCGATGTCTACAAAAGGCTGCAGGGGAGGAAAGGTTTCCCCTGAAATTATCTCAAAATATAATTTTTCACTAAGAATTACTGATATAGAACAGGTCTGGAGGTTAATTACTTAATTAAAAAAATCTTTTTTTCAAGAATGTGCCCACATTTCATGGTGTTTTCTACATAACTCAACCAGATGCTGTAAATGTGCTATCTCTAAGGGTGAATGATTCTGGAGTGTAGTACAAGCTGCAGAGTTCTGACAATCACACAGAGTCCTCAGATAAGAAGAGGATGGAGTAGGAAACAAGGGAAAAATAAAACCACAAGGAGAGGGCAGGTCATGGTGGAACCACTCATGGGATGCAGAACGTTGCTGATTAACATAGGGGAGGACAGAGACAGCAAGCAGGGGATAGAGCAGCCTGTTCATTTAACACAAGCATTACTCCCTATAGATATCACAGCCTAAAGATGGACACACCCTGTGCTCAGATCTCTCCCATCCCCAGAGGCTCTTATATGCTATGCTTGACAGAGCTTCTCCCCTTTCCAGAGGTGCCTGCTTTCTTAACTGATTTGAAGTATATCCATTTCCCTCTCTCAAATGCCTTTAATGAAGGCAAAATACTGAAATAAGTGGGCAAAACTGTTACAATTCTGAACAAATAATTCCTGATAGCTGTTCACCCTCACTACTGGAGAGTAGACTGGGTACCTCCAGAATAAATACAGTACCAGAAAAAGTAACACGACAACATAACAGGAGGAAACAAATTACTTAAGATGGTTACAGGCAAGGCCCCATATATTACACCATTCCACAACAACAAAATTCAGTTCTTGCCACGGAATTATACTCCAAAAACAAAGTTTTTAAAAAATAAATATGTTTATAGTCCTTGTGGATATGGAGATTAACTTGAAAACAACACACACCCACACACACACAGACACACACACACACACAGAGCCAGCCTCAAACAGTAATTTTGAGAATATAGTGGCATCTCAATAAAGACCCCATTGAGTCCACAATTCCACAACTCTGGAATCTGGCATTTTTCCAAGATACCACAGAATTCAGCATTCTTGTCATAGAATTTGCTGTGTCCAGGTGCCTGGAGTTTTGCTTTCTCCTCCTCTGCCCTGCCAGGACCAGCCTGCCGCTCCCTTTGCTTTTCAGCTTTTCTCAAAAGGGGGAGTTAACTGGATTCCAGTCCATGATCCCCGCACTGTTCCATGGAACCAGGCATCTGGGGCTCAGGAAACCAATCCTGGAGTCTAGCTTCCAGCATGTAGGATGACAAGCTGAGATACCTGCAGATCAGTGCAGAAGCCGAGGCTAGGGGAGTCAAGGAAATGAATTGCTGAAGCTGGCTACCCGCTGGGACACACATGATGTGTTGTAATAATTGTGGCCTAACAGGTCTATCCTAATTGTGGGCTGAATTATTGGTAAGTGGGTAAAAGTTTGTAAAATGTTACAATCACCTATAACAATATATGTTGATGCACAGAGGGAAGGGAAAAAGCCTGAACTAGTCCATACAAAAAGCTCTACTAAAGCAACCCAAGGAATGCATTGAGATCGTGCCTAGTAAACAAAAAGCAAATTGCATTAGAAGTTAATGGACCGAAACTGATGTAAGAAACTAGGCTTCATTGGCAGACAAGTAATGAGGGAATGTGCTGTTCTGCCCACCACATCTTCTAGGATCTTTAAAAAAAAAAAAACTTAAAAGTC